CTATGCTCGAAACAAATCTAGAAAATTTTTGCTATGCGGAGAAAATATCTTCCTGAAAAATATGTCGATACATTTTTATCTGTTTTCATTATTTTTTTTCAATTTTTTAATTTTTCACATTCTCTACAACAATATGAAGGTATTTTAACAATACAAGTATTTTGATGAAAATATTTTTAACCAAAAATATTTCGTTAATTTGAACGTTCAAAACTTTTTACATTCTCTACAACAATATGAAGGTATTTTAACAATACAAGTATTTTGATGAAAATATTTTTAACCAAAAATATTTCGTTAATTTGAACGTTCAAAACTTTAGGGTCAGTATTCATAATAAAATTTTTTTTTTATTTCAAAGGCTTTTAGAAGAATAAATTTCAAATAAAACGGGAAAAAAATATTTGCTTCCTTTTTTTAAACTTGTTCTTAAAATTCTTGAAATGTTTACTTTGTGAAAACTAAAATATACGAAACTCATTATAAATCGACAACTTGTTTCAAAAAATTCGTCTCATTCTTGAAACTTCCAAGTTTATTATACATGTTGTATATATATATATATATATACTTACTTGTTCATGAAGCGAAAAGTTAAAGAAGAGCGAAATTGAAATGAATATTTCAGAAGTAATTTGGTTTTCTGAGCGATTATACTCTAGGAAAAAAAAAGTCACTGAATTTAATGATAGCAACGATGTAAGTTTTATGAGTCGGTTTATTGTGCAGTTTAATGCTCTACTTCACAAAAGTACGCAGTTTACGATAAATATCTTTCAGATTAAAATTATCTGAACTGTACAGGAAGAAAAAAAGGCATATTTGAAAATATTTCTTTCGTTTATATTTTTGAATTAAAAGAAATGAACAAAAATTCAGCGTAAATGTTTGGTTTCTATTTTTAGGTACATTTTTGAAATTTTATATTATTCTTATATATAAGAATAATATAAAATTTCAAAAAATATTTCCCCAAAAAAAAACAATAATTGTTTTTCTTTTGAGGGGGAGGGAAAAATATTTATTTAAAGAAATAAAATGTAATTTATTTGAAAGCGTTCAAAATTTAGTAGAAACAAAAACCGAACAATGTAATAATTATAATACAAAAATTAAAATAAAGTAAAAAAAATTGCAAAAGAAATAGTAATAAGGAGAATAGAAAAATAAATGATAAATATATTTTTTTTTCATTTTTGCTTCAGATGCAGAGGGCGGTTCTCGTGCTCTGTTGGCTACCGCTCCTCAATCTATGCCAAGCTGTCAGTCCAGGTGAGTTTTCCAATAAAATGATAAATTTTCAATTTTTATACATATTTTTTTATAATTATTAAATTCAGGAGTCATTGGCATAGTCACGCAAAATTATTATAATAAAAATTTAATTTGTAAAGGAAAGAAATAGATTTCGATTATTTAAACGTTTAGTACTTTAGGTTCATAAATTAATGAATATTACTTTAAAAAAATTATTATTAAAATATTTTGTTTAAAGTACAGGAATGTAAAAAATTCTCAGAATATTTTCATTATAATTTTTTTAAATAATTAGTTTTCTACATTGTCAGAAAAGTTTTTTGAGAAAAGCAATTATTTTGAAAAATGAATTACAATATTTTTAAGCAATTATTTCTTAACTTATTTTTGTATTTAAAATTCTAAAAATAATCGAATTTTGAATGAATTACAGTTGTTTTTTTCTTGGAAATAATAGAATTTCCAGAAGTTTGAAATTGAAATTTAAAAAGTTTTAATTCTTATTTCATATGGAAAAATAAATGACAATTTTTTAAAATATTTATGTAACAGAAATTTTTTAATTTATTCATCATTTAAAAAAATGGAAAAAAGTCTTTCGAAAACAGAGATGAAAAATTTTTGTAATGTTGAATAAACGAGTTTTTCGACTTTTTTCTGTAACTTTATTCTACTAAAGCGACGTTTTTTGTCCCTTCAAGTCGATCCAAGGCCTATTTATAATTTTATATTAAAAAGATGCGCCCTGTATAGTGTGGCGTAATTATGAATTTTTTCTTGTTTTAAAAAATAAAACAAGAATAATTTTACTTTGCTTTTTTTGGTATTATATATGCTAGATATTATATACGTATACAATATGAATTTGCTTTGAAATGCGCTTTATATAAAACGATAGAAATTAAAATTCCTATTTGTATTCATGTTTTTTAACTGCTTTTTTTTAAACGCGCTTTTGTCTGTCAGACTAACTGAAGTTTACAACTTTCGTGTCGTGTATATGTAAAATCAGAAACCGTAATCACCAAACAGAATGGACACGCTAGTCTGTCTAAATTTCTTATACCCTCTGAGAGAGTGAAAGGCCAATGACGCCTATTTCATGTTTTATATTCTGATTAACCCTTTGTTTAAAATTATTTTTAATTATTCTGTAATATTACCGCAATTACAGTTATTTTTCCCATTTATCAATTTTCATAATTTTTATATTTATATTTAGGTTGAAAGTATTAAATTAATCCGTTAACACTAGACTTTTTTTAAAAGAAAGTAAATTTTGTCCGCCATATTGGATCCGCCATTTTGATTTTTATAAAATTGACATCGGATTTGTAATCAGCGACCATAAAAAAATTTTTTACTGAATAATATTTTCAATTTTTTCTTTCATTGACGAATAATTATAAAATATAAAGAAAATTTTTATTATTATAAATTGTTATTATTATTATCAATTAAAATAATGATACAAAATTTAAAAAATTAAATTTTTTTTTTAAATTCTAATGTTCAAGTTGAGAAAAAAGGAATATAATTGAGATAGAGCTTTATTTAAAAAAAAACAGAGATCTTTATAATACATTTGTCACGCATATGCAACAAATGTCTTTTAAACGGTCATAAGTTATGATTAGAGTGACTATTCAAAGTCCCCCCATAGGAACGCCAAAGCGGGAATATAGTAAATTTATAACCAGAGTTTGCGCGTGCAAAAGCTTCGTCAGATAAGCGTTCTGTTGCAAGATTATACCAGCACTTTTTTTTCACCCCTAAAAGTCACGAATAACAAGAATGTACAGGTGGTTGTAGTGCAAAGGTACTTCATTACCCGTCATATCATATGTGCATGACACGCTGTACTGTTGTGGTAATTTTGATAAGGTTACACCCATACCAGAGAAATTAAAAAAAAAATAAAAAAAAATAAAAATTGTCCTCCCAGAGAGAAAAATAGCAGAAAGCAAAAAATATAAATGAAGCGTTATGGTAAAGTGCGTTTGTAACTGGAATTTTATGAATTAGTGTGCGGAAAAAAAAGAAAATAGCGAATGTTTAATTTTAAACCCTTAATATTTATTTCAGTAATAATTTTTTAAAAAAAATATAGGTAATAATTTAGAAATAAATAAAAATAAAATAAGGAAAGAAATAAAAATAAAAAAAAAATGAAGAAAGAAAGAAATAAAAAATAAAAAAAAAAAAGTAAAAGAAAAGAAATAAAAAGTGAAAAAATATAAAGAAAGAAAGAAAAATAAATGAAAATAAAATTAAATATAGATTAAAGAGACGCTTCTAAATAACTTTCGGCGAATGTAATTAAACGAAAGAATTAATTGACCGTCTGATCGGAAAACGAAAATCAGTTTAGTGTTGATCTTTTTTTGATTTTCGAGAAAACGATTCGAAAAAAGGAAAGTAATTTAGTTGAAAAGAGTCAATACTTGATTCTCTGTTGGTAACGACTTTTTATTATTGACGTAGTGGAAATTCAAAATTCTACATTCGTCTCACGTTTCCTCATTTTAGAAACTTCCGACCCGACACTAAAACTTGTTTGTGTTTTTTACCCTCTTCTTTCATTTTCCACCACACTAAACATAGAGCTCTTGTGGTAATTTTCGTTAGCTCCATAAATCATACATATGACTTTGGAATTAAAATATATCCTCGATTGACAGAAAATATTTCAAAAAAAAAGAAAATTAAATTAACTTTTTGGTAAAATTTGTAATTTAAAAAAAAATTGTTTTTCTTATTAGTAATTTATTTTTTTAATTATTATATAGTTCAGGCATCGCATTATTTCTACACTTTCTTTTTGAAAGATTTTTATTTAAACTTACAGTACCTATTTACTAAGTTTTTTGTATGATTTGATACTATTTGGATAATTTTTAAAAAAATTTGTTACAATAAAAGCTACATTATTCTATGGAATTCAATTATTTAAAGCACAATTTTCATAAAATTTTTCAAAAAAATCAATTATTTAAAAAGATTTTTATAATTTCTTCGTAAGAATTCAATTATTTAAAAAAAAATTAATAAAGTTCTTACCAAGAATTCACTTATTTTTAAAAATTTTGATGTAATTTGTTTATTAAATTTTTCATAATTTTTATAAATATATTTTTAATCAAATTTTTTATGAGAATTTAATTGTCAAAAATTTAATTGAATTTCTTCGTAACAATTCAATTATTTTCAACAAATTTTAATGAATTATTCTTAAAAAAATAATAAATTGTAAAAATTTGTCGTAATTCAATTATTTTAATATCCACTATTTCAATAAAATTTCACAAAAGAAATTAATTATTATTTTTAAAAAAAATTCCATAAAATTCGTAGCGAAAAATTCAATTATTTTCATAAATAATAAAATTCTCACAGGATTTCAATTATTTATTTTTATTTTATTTAATTTCAATTATTTTTAATACAATTTTCAATAAATTCTTCTAAAAATGGAATTATTCTTGAAAAATTTATTAAAATTCTCCGAAAGAATTCAATTATTTAAACAAATGATAAAGTTCTTCGTAACATTGAAATTATTAAAAATTTTAATTGTTGTAAAATTGTAATAATATCAAAGAAAAATGTTTATTTTTAAATTAAATGATTGTAGTTTAAAATAATTTTATATAAAAATTTCAATAAAATAAATGATTGAATTTTGGAAGAATTACATTTGTAATTTTTAAAAATAGTTAAATTTCAAAAAGGCTTCATATTCAAATTAATTAAAAAAATTTTAATTCCCGTGGAAAAATAAATAGTTATTTAAATATTTATTTAAAAAAAATATTTTTTTTAAAATTTTTAATTTAGAAATTATGAAAAGATTTAGTCGCAAATTCAATTTCTCGATAGATACTTTTTTTACTATACTTTCTTTCAGTTTCAAAGCTACTTTTTTAAAATTATTTATCAAGTACGAAGCCTGAATTAATTAGTAAAATTTACTAATTCAAAAGCAAAAAGTCAGTGACTAATTCAAATTAATAAATATTTTTTTTAAATTCAAATTTAGGGAGTAAAGTTTGGAAGAAATTTTTGTATTATTCATTTCGAGGAAAGAATAAGGTCGGATTTCCTTTGTGAGGACATAAAACCATGTGAGCTTTGAATTTTCTTAGATTGGGACTGTTTAAACTTTTCACACGCCATTTTCGCAAAATTGCAGTTACGGTAATTTTTACTTCAGCCATGGCGAATTTCATTCCAATACAATTTCTTGGCCCTGCACTAAATGGAATATAAGCGTAGGGGTGTCGATTTTGACAATTTTCTGGTAAAAATCGATCAGGATCGAATTTCATTGGATCCGGCCAAACATCTGGATCACGATGTAAGCCAAATATATGAAGTGCAATATTCGCTCCTTTAGGAATTGTATATCCATCTGAAACGAAATTTTACAATTTATTTAAATGGTGAATTATTTCTGTATTTATAAAGATAAATTATTTTTATATTTATATAAAGATAAATTATTTTTATATTTATAAAGATAAATTACTTTTTATATTTTAAAAGAAAATTTATTTTTTCTTAATGAATTAATTATAAAGAAATAGTAAATAAAAATAATTTTATTTATTATATGGAATAAACTTTTTTTAATCATGTAAATTAATTATTAAATTTATGTTTTTTGGAATTTTAACCTATTTCAATGTCATCCGTCATGTAACGTGCAACCATTGGAACCGAGGGATATATTCTTAGAGTTTCTTTGATGACACGATCGAGGTATGCGAGTTCAGCAATTTGATGCATAGTAGCTGGTTTCATTGAATCACCAAATACAGCATCCAATTCCTCATGTACCAGTTTTTGTACTTCGGGATTATTTCCAAGACTAAAAATTGTCCAGTTTATCGCTGAAGCGGTCGTATCGTGACCCTTGAATAAAATAATATTTAATTACAACAGAAATTTAATTTTCAGTTTTTTGAATTATTTTAAAATTATTTAGTATTGCTTTGGTTTAAAAATTTAAGTTTTAATTTTCGAGTTGAAAGAAGATTGAAGAATGACATTTTTAAAATTGATACAATTTTTTTTAATAAAACGATTGAACTTTATGCACTGTTCATCGCGAAGGGTTAAAAAGAATAATTCACATCTTATTTTTTTTTCATTCCTCGTAAAAATTTGATTCACTCACAGCAAACATAAAAGTTTCCACCTGCTCTCTTATTTCCTCATCTGTCATATGAACTTTCTCATTCTCGTCCAAATCTAACATAAGATCCAAGAAAGCTTTTTTCCGTCTTTTACCTTATTCGTGGAGGTAAAAACAAATTCAATTTTACTGCTTTTTTTTAATATTTACAAATATCGAATGGAATTGAAAAAAATATTAGCGATAATATTGGGTTTCTTTTATTTTGTTTACTGAACTGAGTTCTCTAGAATGCCTTGAATATTATAAAATAAGCTAATAGAGTTTATTTTCTAGAAAAAAGAAAACCTACAAAATTTTTAATTTATTTAACATAATTTAAAAAAAAACATAAAGCGATTAATAGCGTTTGTTTTGAAATATTTGAGATATTTTATTGAACTGTTCTGCAAATTTCGCTATTCGTAAGTTTGGATATCTTTTTTCTTAAAAAAATTACTTTTTACTGTCTAAATTTTAAAAAACAATAATTACCAAATTCATCTACATCGTTTTGTGAATTTTTCATTTTTCGAAGTTGCCTCCGTTTTTTAATAATCTGAAAAAATACGAATTTTTCTCATTGAGAAATGCATAAAATTTTAATTACAAATAGAATAAATGCAAATCTTAGTTAAATAATTATTATAAAGTTTAACAATTTTATATTAATGTTATCGAAGTAAAAATGTTTTGCACTAAATTCTGCTGAACAGTTCTGTAAAAATTAAAAGTCAATTATATCTTTTCCACTACTGTTCAGCATACTTTGATGAAATTAATAAAATCTGTTAAACTGTACAATAAATATTTGTCTAAAATTTGCTAAAAAGTTCTGCAAAATTTAAAGGACTATTTTAACTTTCCCACTAGTATAATTTATAGTATTTATTATATTATTATTTTATATTTTTCATATCACTATATTTTGAGAAAGTTGATAAAAAATTGAACTGTTTATTAAATATTAAATTACTAGTTTAAATTTTTAAATAAATTTATTTTTAAACATTATAATAAACAAATTAATATTAAATTACTATTATTCAATAAATTAATAAAAATTTCTCGAGATAATTATTTTGCAGTGTAAAAATTTACCCCAATTGTAAAGTTGTTCATAATTTCCATCGAATTTTCATAATCTTTTCCTAATTTTGTTTTGTAAAATAGCCAATCCCATTTTAACCATGGATAAAATATTCTTTTTCCAAGTACAAGTAGCATACTGTAAAAAATAAGGAAGAATTAATTTTTTTTCTTTTTTTCTTTGTAAATAATTTTTTTTTGTCACTTTACATACACATCTAAGGCTTGAATATACGGTATGTCTTGACTCCTTTGAACGTCCATACTTGCTCCCATTGAGGTTTCTAAAATATTATATAGTTGATAAATATAATAATTTCGTATCCTCTATATAGTAAATTGTTTAAATTTTCTCTCTCACCAATGAATAGAAAAAATTTGTGTTTAAAAATTTTTTTTTTCCTTACCACAAATAATATCAAGCGCACATCTAACAGAATGTCGATAAAAATCAATGGATTCACCACCATTATTTTTTAATTCATTCTCTAAACATTCAACAAGAACTTCTGCTTTTTCTGACATTGTTTCGATAAATTGATCGATAACGCCAAAATGAAAAGCTGGCGTTAAAAGTTTTCTGTTGTGAAACCATTTTTTACCTGGAAAAAAATTTATAGTGCGTTTGTATTTTTGTTGCAATTTTTCTTTTTTATTTCTTTTTATATTTTTAATGAATAGCTGACCTGAAGATGTTAATAGACCATCACCTAACCACGATTTAAAAGTATTGTAAAAATCGGCTTTTGTTGTAGTTTCAGATTTTGGTAGAATGACCTTTTGAATATTAATAGAAGATTATATTTTAGCAAATGGAAATTATAAGTTTGTTAAATTTTCATGAACAGTTCTTTACTTTTTAATGAAACAATGTTTTTTGGCGAATTTCTACAGTTTTAAGTGTTTTTCAAAATTTGAATAAAATTTATTTATTATTTATTACGTAAGATTAATTATTCATTCTCTTTCTAATATTCGTATTGATTTTTACCTAAATTTGTTGAATAGTTCTGAAAAATTTAATTTACTTGTTTAATTTTCCAATAATTTGTAGACTATATATGTATTTTTGAGAAGGTTTTGCTTAAAAGTTTTTAATGATAATTTTTAAATTATGAAAAATTACGAATCTGATTATTAAATATTTTAAAAACTCGTTTATTTGATTTGTCAGTAAAGAACTGTTCATGAAAATTCAAGATGATTTTTTGCGTAAATATTAAAAAAAAATCAGTTCAGATTTTTATTTACTCATTTTTCTTTACTTACCTCCATATGACGCGGTTTACGCATTAAAATGTAAGCATCCAAAAATAAAACAAGTTTCATTAGACCTTCTTTAAATCTAAGTTGAACATCGTCAATCCATATAAAACGGTCTAAATAAACATTTAATGTTGATAAATAAATTTAAAAAATCCACAAAATTAATTTATACGAGAAATTATTTTCTTTTAAAAATTACCTTCTTCTTTTATTTTCCATCCAACTAAAGCGAGGTACGATATTGGATATGGTACTGGACCAGGGAATTTATTAATTAGGATAGAAAAATTAATTAAACTTATTAATTTGGCGATATATTTACATAAACTTAGTATAATAATTGAAACTATTAATATTCCAAGTGCACTCATTGTATTTTCCTTGTTAATTTCACAATATAATTTTAATATGATTTATTTTAATTATTATGTAATTCGTCACCAAATTCTTTTTATATACTGATGGTTTGTAAATTATTTTTTAATTTCATTTTGATATAATACACTTTATTTCAATTTTGTTATCTGAACGATAGTAAGTTGAAGATATTTTGCTCAGAAGGAAAATTTTGTATGTTTATCAAAGGAGAGACGACATTATGTTAAATATTTGAACTTTCTCTGGTTATGCAAGTTTTTCAAATCTTTATCATTTTAATGAGAGTTAATTTTGTGATTCTTTTGTCATTATTTAAAAAGAAAAGAATTGTTTGAATCTTTATTATTATTGCAAAAATAATAATTTTAATAAATGAAATAATACAAATATTATTATTATTATTAATATATTAATAATTTTAATAAATGTAATAATACACCCAGAGAAAAGATATATTTGACTTAGAACCAACTATAGACTTTTTTAATAGACTTTTTAATAGACTTATTTGTTTTAAATAAAATTTTATTTGGCTCAAATATATGTCTTATTTATGTCAAATAAAATTTTTATTTAAAACAAATAAAAAGTCTAGTTGGTTCTGAGACAATTATACGTTTATTTAACACAAATAAAATATATTTGGTTTAAATAAAATTTTTCTCTGGGTGTATTATCATTTTTTTTTTTATTATTAACAAAAATATAATTCTTATTAAAAAGAAATTAATTGAAATAAAAATAATTTATTTATCGCGAGGGAGCAAATAGACAGGATTTTCATTACAAGGACAAAGAATCATGTTAGCTTGATATTTCATTTCTTCGGGACTTCTTAAACTCTTGACTCGCCATTTTCGCAAAATTGCTGTTAAAACAATTTTTAGTTCAACCATTGCAAATTTCATTCCAATGCAATTTCTTGGCCCTGCACTAAATGGAATATAAGCGTAGGGGTGTCGATTTTGACAATTTTCTTGTAAAAATCGATCAGGATCGAATTCATCAGGATTTGTCCATGACTCAGGATCTCGATGTAGAGCGAAGATATTGAGCCCAACATTTGTTCCTTTAGGTAATTTATAACCAACTGAAACGAAATTTGACAATTAATTCCTAACGTGAATTATTTTTATATTTAGAAGGTATATATTTTAGGTATTTTTAGAAGTAAAAAAAAAAATTTTTTTATTAACAAATTTATTATAGAAATGTCGAATAAAAATAATTTTATTCATTATTGAATGAACTCTTTTTGATTATTTTAAATTAATTGTTAAAATTTAGGTTTTGGGATTTATAACCTATTTTAATGTCCTCGATTATACGTCGTCCAATGAATGGAACAGAGGGATACATTCTTAGACTTTCTTTGATGACACGTTCGAGATATGTGAGTTCAACAATTTGTTGCATAGTAGCTGGTTTCATTGAATCACCAAATACAGCATCCAATTCCTCATGTACCAGTTTTTGTACTTTGGGATTATTTCCAAGACTAAAAATTGTCCAGTTTATCGCTGACGCAGTTGTATCGTGTCCCTTGAATATAATTTAAATATTTAATTAGAATACAAAAAATAAATTTTTTATTTTCTTATAAAATTTAAAAAATTTATGCACTGGTTAAAAATAATAATTCACATCTTATTTTTTTTTTCATTCCTCGTAAAAATTTGATTCACTCACAGCGAACATAACAGTTTCCACCTGCTCTCTTATTTCCTCATCTGTCATATGAACTTTCTCTTTCTCGTCCAAATCTAACATTATATCCAAGAAAGCCTTTTTGCGACGTTTACCTTATTCGTGGAGGTAAAAACAAATTCAACTTTATGTGCCATTTATTATTTACAAATGACGAATGGAATTGAAAAAAATAATTGTAAGAGAAAAAATTTTTGTTGAGAAAAAGTCCTTGAATTTTAGACAATTTTCTTGAATTTTGCAATAACATTGGGTTTCTATTTTTTCTTTTGTTTACTTAACTGAGTTCTGTAAAATGTCTCGAATATAATAATAGAGTTTATTTTTCTAGAATGAAGAAAAAGTAGAGAATTTTCAATTTATTTAATCTAAGGTAATAAATGGCAAAGATTAATAGAATTTGTTTTGTAATATTTCACATACTTTATGGAAGAGTTTTTGCAAATTTCGCTATTCGCAAGTTGGGAATTCTTTTTTCTCAAAAAAATTAATTTCTTTACTTTCTAAATTATACAGAAGAAAAATTACCAAACTCGTCTACATTGTCATGTGATTTTTTCATTTTTCGAAGTTGTCTCCGTTTCTTAATAATCTGAAAAACATGAATTTTTCTCATTGAGAAATGCATAAAATGTTAATTACAAATGGAACAATAATAATGTTAACATTGACAGATTTCTACTTTTGGATAAAGTAACGCTTTGACAAATATTAAAAATACTCTCGAACAAAGTTTTTAGTATTGTAATAATTTATCAAAATATACGGAACAGTAGTAGCAAAGTGAAAACAGTACATTAATTTCAAAAAACTATTCAGTAAATTTTAGTAAAATATTTATTATAAAGTTTAATAATTTTATATTAACTTTATCACTATATTTTAATAAATAAAATGAGAAAATTGATAAACTGTATAATAAATATTTGACTAAATTCTGCTGAACAGTTCTGTAAAAATTAATGGACTACTTCAACTTTTCAACTAGCATATTTTATAGTTATTTATTATATTATTATTTTATGTTTTTCTTATCACTATATTATGAGAAAATTAATAAAAAATTGAATTGTTTATTAAATATTAAATTACTATTATTAAATAAATTTATATAGAAATATTACAATGAACAAAGTAGTATTAAATTATTATTATTCAGTAAATTAATATGAATACAATACAAAGAATCGTAAATAAAAATTTCTCGAGATAATTATTTTGCAGTGTAAAAATTTACCCCAATTGTAAAGTTGTTCATAATTTCCATCGAATTTTTATAATTTTTTCCTAATTTTGTTTTGTAAAATAGCCAATCCCATTTTAACCATGGATAAAATAATCTCTTTACAAGTACAAGTAGCATACTGGAAAAATCATGTAGAATTATTTTTTTTTCATTTCTCTTTGTAAATAATTATTTTTTTTGTCATTTTACATACACATCTAAGGCTTTGATGTACGGTATATTATGACTTCTTTGAACGTCCATATTTGCTCCCATTGAGGTTTCTGAAATATTATATATGTGCTAAAATAATTTAATATTGTATAGTAAATTATTTAAATTTTCTTTTCCACGAATAGAAAAAAATTTTTGTGTTTAAAACTTTTTTTCTTTCTTACCACAAATAATATCAAGCGCACATCTAACTGAATGTCGATAAAAATCAATGGATTCACCACCATTATTTTTTAATTTATTCTCTAAACATTCAACAAGAATTTCTGCTTTTTCTGACATTGTTTCGATAAATTGATCGATAACACCAAAATGAAAAGCTGGCGTTAAAAGTTTTCTGTTGTGAAACCATTTTTCACCTGGAAAAAAATTTATACTGCGTTTGAATATTTGATGCAATTTTTCTTTTTCATTTTTTTTCTGTTTTCAAATGTATAGGCATGAATAGCTAACCTGAAGATGTTAATAGACCATCACCTAACCACGATTTAAAAGTATTGTAAAAATCGGCCTTTGTTATAGTTTCTGATTTTGGTAGAATGACCTTTTGAACATTAATAGAAAATTTTATTTCAGCAACGGAGAATGCCTAATAAGTTTGTTAAATTTTCATGAACAGTTCTTTACTTTCGAATGAAAGAATGATTTTGGCAAGTTTATACAATTTTAAATGTTTTTGTAAAATTTTTAATGAATTTATTTATTATTAGGGGAACATAGTCTAGGTCAGCCACCTTTTTGACTTTTGTTTATAACTTTTTTTTAAAAATGAATTTGGACAATTGAAGTATATGGTTGGAAAGTCCTGTTTAATAGGAACATTTTTTCTGTACAAAGTAAATTGACAGGTTTAAAAATGAAAAAGTTATAAAGATTTAAAAAAAAAAAAATTTGTAGTCCAGGTTGGCCATTACAGTCAAGGTCGGCCATGTTTAAAATTCAAAGGGCATTAATCGTTAAAAAATAAAATAACATGTTTGGAGTTACGGAAAATTGATTCTTTATTGTTTACAGTTTGTAACTTAATGAAATAACAAAATAATAACAATAAACAATATAAAAAAATAAATATAAATAAAAAAAAGTTTTGCACTAAAATATTAATAAAATTAAATAAAAATATTAATAAGATGATCAATTATATTATGAGTTATACAGAATTGCAGTTTTTGCAAATGAAGTAGCTCGTCCTCATCTTTGCGCATTTTAAACACATAGTGGCCGACCTTGACAGTAAGTAACATTACCGAATTGTTGTAACCATAAAGAAATACGTTTCGGGATTCGATTTTTTACTTTGTTTTCCTTTCAACCATGAGTCCCACAAATTTTCTGCATACTTGCCTTGACGATTCAATTAGTTTTTTATCTTTTATTAATGGTTTTTCACATTATGCACAAAACTTTTTTTCAGCTTTTTTTGTACCGACGTCACAGAAAACACAATTTTCGATTTTCCGAAAATGTAATTGAACAAAAAGTTAGGTTTCACTAAGACAAGCTTCGACAAAAATGCGCGTAGGTGGCGCTAGTGAACTTGACAAAAAAACGCGAGTGGCCTACCTAGACAGTAGGCCAACCTTGACTACATTCCCCTAGATATTTATTACTTAAGATATTCATGAAAATTCAAGATTATTTTTTGCGTAAATATTAAAAAAAAATCAGTTCAAATTTTTATTTACTCATTTTTCTTTACTTACCTCCATATGACGCGGTTTATGCATTACAATATAAGCATCCAAAAATAAAACAAGTTTCATTAGACCTTCTTTAAAGCTAAGGTGAACATCCTGAAGCCATATAAAACGGTCTAAATAAACATTTAATGTTGATTTAAAAAAGGTTAAATAAAATTCAACTTCGTTTCAATTTTTAATAATAGAAAATAAAAAAATTGCAAAGATATTTATTTTCATAACGTGTACGATAATAATCGAATAGTATAATATAAATAGTAAAAATAATAATAGCAACAAGGAAAATAAAAAAATAGTACCTAACAAAAATAATAGTGACAATAATAATAAAAACAAGAAAAATAAAAAAAAATGAAAATAGTAGTAACAATAATAATAAAAACAATAATGGTTATAGTATTTTTAAGTACAATAATAATATTAATGTATTGTACATAAAATTAAAAAATAATAAGACAGAAAATAAAAAGAAATAAATTTAAAAAATTCACTAATTTCATTTATACGAGAAATTATTTTCTTTACCTTCTTCTTTTATTTTCCAACCAACTAAAGCGAGGTAGGATATTGGATATGGTACTGGACCAGGAAATTTATTAATTAGCATAGAAAAATTAATGAAACTTATTAATTTGGAGATATATTTACATAAAATTAGTAAAATAATTGCAATTATTATTATTTTAAGTGCACTCATTGTATTTTACTTTTTAATTTGACTATATAATTTTAATTTTATTATGATTTAATTCAATTAATAAGTAATTCGTCTCTAAATTCTTTCTATATACTGGTGGTTTGTAAGTTTTGTTTTAAATTTATTTTGATATAATACACGATGTTGTTTATTGTAATCTGAACGATAGTAATATAGAGATCTTGCTCAGCAGAAAGAAAATTTTTTCTATGTTTATCAAACGAGACGTCTTTATGTTAAATATTTGAACTTTCCCTGATTATAAAAGTTTTTCAAATATTTATCATTTTATTGAGAGTTAATTTTGTGATTCATTTGTTATTATTTAAAAAGAAAAGAATTGTTTGAATTTTTATTATTATTATTATTGCTATAATAATAATTTTAAAAACTAGACTTTTATTTGTTTCAATCAAACAAATTTTTATTTGGTTGAAATAAAATTTTTCTCTGGGTGTATTATTATTTTTTTATTATATTAATAAAAATATAATTTTTATTAAAAAGAAATCAATTGAAATGAAAATAATTTACTTATCGCGAGGAAGGAAATAGACAGGATTTCCATTATGAGGACAAAGAATCATGTGAGCTTGATATTTCATTTCCTCGGTACTTCTCAAACTTTTCACACGCCATTTTCGCAAAATTGCTGTTAAAACAATTTTTTGTTCAGCCATTGCAAATTTCATTCCAATGCAATTTCTTGGCCCTGCACTAAATGGAATATAAGCGTAGGGATGTCTTTTTTGACAATTTTCTGGTAAAAATCGATCAGGATCGAATTCATCAGGATTTGTCCATGACTCTGGATCTCGATGTAGAGCGAAGATATTGAGCGTAACATTTGTCCCTTTAGGAAGTGTATAACCATCTGAAATTAAATTTCTAATCAAATTTGTTATTTTTCAAAGAATTTTAAATGGATTTTGAAATTTTGTAAAGAAATATCACTAATAATAATAATAATAATAATAATAATAATAATAATAATAATAATAATAATAATATCAAAAAATAGTAATAGATAACAATAGTTAATATTCATAAATTTTACACTCAATTTGTTTTCATTCGAAAAAGGAGATTTTCATTTTAATTCAAATTTCTTGTGTATTTTTGAATGTTTGATATTAAAATAAGAGCAAGCGTCGTGTCCTATTTGAATGCAACAACATTTTCTCTGATACCTAATTCGGTATTTTCTGTCAAAAGTCGTCCAATCACTGGAACGGAAGGATATAGCCTGAGGTTTTCTTTGATCACTCGTTCGAGGTATGTGAGTTCTGCGATTTGTTGCACTGAGGCTGGTTCCTTTGAGTCTCCAAATACTGCATCTAATTCTTCATGTACCTTTACTTGAACTTCAAGATTATTTCCGAGGTTGAAAATTGCCCAGTTTATCGCCGACGCTGTTGTATCATGACCCTAGAAAATAGTCGAAATTTTTGCACTGCTATTAAAATTAATTAATTAGAGAATTTTTGTATTATTTTTTCATTTTTTGCTAATTTTTTTATATTATTTACTCTAGCTTTTTATTTTTTTTTTATATTTTATTTATTTCCACTTTATTTATTTTCATGGAGATGTAAAAATAAAGGACGTTATTTATTTTCATAGAAATGAGAAAATAAAATTAATCCATTATTATTTTTAAATTTATATTATTAGATTTTTTACAATTATTATTTTAATACCTACTTTTTTGATATTATTAAATATTAAATTAAAAAATAAATAAACTCACAGCGAACATAAATGTATCCACTTGCGCTTTAATATCTTCGTCTGTCATAAAATATTTTTCATTCTGGTCCAAGTCTAACATGAGATCCAAAAATGCCTTTTTCTGCCGTTTGCCTTTTTTCATTAAAAAAAAAAGTTAGTTTTAAAAATTTTTTACTATTAAATTACAATAGAAGGATTTACCAAATTCATCTCGATTCTCTACTGGATTTTCTGTATTTCGAAGTTGCCTTCGTTTTTTAATAATCTGAAAAATTTCATGAATATCACATAAAGAAATAGCTTTATAAAGTGATTTTAAATAATATTTTTATTTATTTTAGATATTTAAATTTAAATATATATTTATTTCAATTTAATTTTAATTTGTTTCACAATTATAAAATGTAAATGTACAAAATTTACCCCAATAGTAAAGTGTTTCATAATTTCGGCAGACTTTTTAAAGTCCCTTCCCGATTTTGTTAGATAAAATAGCCAGTCCCATTTTAACCAGGGATAATAAATTCTCTTGCCAAACGCAACTAATAGACTAAAATTGAAAATAATAATTAATTAAAAAAATAAAAATTATTGACTTGTAATATTTTACATACACTTCTAAGGCTTTGATGTACGGTATATCATGATTCCTTTGAACGTCCATATTTGCTCCCATTGATGTTTCTGTAATAAATCAAATTGAACAATAATTTTCTTTTAGAGGAGAAATTTCTGTTTGTAAAATTTCTTTCATTATTTTTGTATTTTATTTATTCTTATTTACTTATTTATTTTTATTTATATATTTTTTATTAAATTATTTATTAGTTGAATTTTTATTTTATTTTTTCATTTAAAACAAAAATTTCTTTTCTTGCTATATATATAGAGAACAATGAGTTCTTTTTACCACAAATAATATCTAACGCACATCTGACAGAATGCTTATGAAAATCGATTGTTTTTCCTCCGTTCTCCATTATTTCATTTTCTATACATTGAACGAGAATTTCTGCCTTTTCTGACATGGTTTTCATAAATTGTTCCACAACACCAAAATGAAAAGCTGGCGTTAAATGTTTTCTATTTTGAAACCATTTTTCACCTGCAAGAAATTTACAGTGAAGATTAGTTTAGTTTCAATTTTTGTATTAGCTTCTATATTTTCTTTTATGTATTTACTTATTCTATTTACTTTATTTTTTACAAATTAATTTTTTTTTCATTTTCGTTTAATTATTCTTATTTTATTTATTTTTTCATTTCTTAATTAATAATTTATTTACCTGACGATGTCAATAGTCCTCCACCTAACCACAAATCAATTGCGTTATACAGATCAGCTTTTGTTGAAGTTTCTATTTTTGGTAGGATAACCTTCAGAAAATTAATAATATTTCTAATTAATGTAAGTAAAATGCACCCAGAAAGAAAAATATTTTTGGCGTTTCATTTGTTTCGAAATAAATTTTATTTGTTGCAAATAAATTTTATATGTTGGAAATAAATTTTATTTCGTTCAAATAAGTTATATTTAGTTAAATTAAAAATTTATTTGTGTCAAATAAAATTGTTACTTAAAGCAAATAAATAATTTAGTAAATTCTGAGACAAATTTCAGATAATATTAAAAAATTGTAGAATATTATTTTAAGAATTTTCGTTTTTTTTTATCTTACTTCCATTTGTCTTGGTTTGTTGATGAAAATATAGGCGTCTAAAAATATTGCGATTTGCATTACACCTTTCTTGAATTTTTTATGAATATTACCAAACCATATTATTCGATCTAAAAAAAAAAAATTTCATATTTTTTTTTGCAAAATATTAATTTTTTAATTTAAAGAATTAATTTTAGAACAATTTATGGAAATTGTTTCATTAATTGGCCTAAAATTAATATATTAAAAAACCACAAAAAACATTCATCTAATTAATTTTTTTAATTAATTTTTTAATTTTAAATTCATCTTTTTTCTACTTTAATAAAATGATGGAAATTTTTAGAATAAGAGTATGTAAACATTCAAAAAAAGTTAAGATATTAATATTTTCTCGTCTACCTTCAGCTTTGATTTTCCAACCCAACAATCCTACGTAAGGTATGGGAAACGGTGCCGGACCAGGAATTTTATTAATCATTAGAGAAAATTTCATGAATTTTATTAATCTTGGGATGAATTTATGTAAACTTATTATAATAATAGAAACTACAAATATTCCAAGTGCACTCATTTTTCTTTCTATTGAATTTTTTTTGTAACTTTGTCTTTTTATAAATATTTTTACTTCACTTATTCTCTAATTTTTATGTGATTATTATGCAATAATTATTATGTAATTTTTATGTAATTATTACATGACATTTTGAATTTAACTTTTTTAGACACTAGTGAACAGTAAACTTTTTAATTTCACTGTTTATGAATTAATACTGTTGGATTTTTGTTATTCAAATGATAAAATTGTAAAAACATTTTTTCATCTGTGGGTGGGGACATTATCATGATTGTTTTATCAAATTTTGATTTGATTTAAAAATTAAAATTATTAAATTTCTTCTCCTTCATAAAGAATTTGTAAATTTGTAAATTTAAGAAAAGTTAATATATATTTTTCAAATTGTTTTCTGACTAAAGCTTTTTTACCTCAAAAAAAAAAAAAAAGAAAAGTGAAATAAATGGAAATTTTTATATAAAATCAAGTTGAGTAAAGAAATTGAAGAATTGAAGAATTATTTAGTATTAGAAAAATAATAATAACAATAAATTATATTTATTAATTTATTATTATTTCTTATTATTTATTAACTACTAATAATAAAATAATAATAAAAAAATAAGAACTAAATAATAAAAGAGATTGATAGAGAAAACCAAAATAAAAAATAAAAAAAATAAATAAATGAATAATTTTATTTATTTTTAGTTTTTCCCTCTTATAAAAAATTCTAATTTGCTTTAAACTGATATTTTTTTATCGGAAAAATTAGCCAGTTTCTAAGTGAATAATTTGAGCAATAAGAAATACAATTATTTTAGATAGAAAATTTTTGGATAAAAGAAAAGAAAGGAAGGGTTTTTTTTTCATCTAATTCAATGTCTTCCGTCAAATGTCGTTCAATCATTGAAACGGAAAAAGGATAAAGGTTGGGGTTTTCTTTGATCACTCGTACAAGGTATGTGAGTTCAGCAATTTGTTGCATAGTAGCTGTCTCTGCTTCCTTTGAGTCGCCAAATAGTGCATCCAATTCTTCATGTACTTTCATACTTGAACTTCACAATTGTTTCCGAGGTTAAAAATTGTTCGGTTTACCGCTGAGACAGATGTTCCGTGACCCTTGGCAAGAAATAGAAAAAAAAGTTTTTTTTTTGAGGAAAATTTTCTATCTTTTGCTCTAAAGAGAGATAAACTTACGAACTAATGTAATTTATTTTTAGAAACTCCGATTCACTTTTTTGTTAATGAAACATTTTTTATTATTGCAGAGAAATTTTATAAATTTTTATTTGTTTATTTGTAGAGAGAATAATTTTTTTTTAATAAATGAAATAATACGAGTCGTTTAGAATATTTGACTCAAGTTAGTAAACATTTTTTTTTCAATGATTTTTAGTGGAATTTTACTAATTTTAATTGAATTAAGTTTTATGTAAGTTAATTAAATTTTAAAATTGTTTCAGTTAAATTGTTAAATTAAGTTTAATATTTCAGTTGAATTGCAATATACATATTTTCTTACTTATTTACTATTTTTTTTTTTAATTCCAGTTTTATTAAAATACATTTAATTGTTCAACTTTTGTTCAAAATAAAATATTAAATTTCATTTAATATTTAACCATATCATATATAATGTAATATATCTCCAGTAAACTGTGAAATTAAGGAAAATTAAAAACCCCTGAAAAATCATTGCGGCTTTTATATTACTTATACTTTACATACATTTCTAAAAGCTTTGATGTACTGTATGTCTTGACTCTCTTTGAACGCGTCTATATTTGTTCCCATTGAAGTTTCTGAAATATTATACGTGATATGAACAATAATTTTCTTTTCTCTTATGAGGTAAAATATTTCGCGTGAGAGAGTAAATTTTTTTTTCTGCTTAGACAATATAAAAGCTGGTGTTTTTATTTTTTCTTTATACCATATGAAATAATATCTAGCGTTGAAATTTCTAAAATTTGAAGCAAAAAAATTAAAATAGAATTCGTAGAAGAAAATTTTAAAATAATAAAATTCTTTGCTAAAATAGAAAATAATTGAATTCTTAGATAAAATGGAAAGTAATTAAATTCACAGCTAAAGAAAATAATTAAATTCTTTATTCATTTTTTTTTAATTTGCTTGAAATAACAAGCATTACGGTTTTGGTAAGTTACACAAAAAACCCTTTTTTTTTTACAAAATTAGTAAAATGAAAAATAAAGGGAAATAAAAAATAAATTTATTACAAATTTTTATTGTTCTTAATGTCATTGAATAACGTTTATAAATATGTTCGTCTCATTTAATAAAAGCAATAGGTTATCATTTATTGCGACATTGATCTTGTCAAATAATTAATTTTACTTTCGACACATACGTACGTATAATCATATCGACAATAAGAATACAATAATTGCTCATTCATTTTAAAGGTCGCGAAGAGATAATTATGCAAAATTTTTTTTATTTATATTCGTTTGACTCTCGAGTCTTATCAATTTGATAACAATATCTTAATTTCTCTTACACACAAAGTGACTTACAATTTATTTATGTATACTTCTGGTCTTTGAATTATTATCTATTAATATAATTATTATCATTCCAAACCTAAAAATTGTTTGCAAACAATTTCAAAAGTTTTTTCAGTTTTTGTTGTAATAAAAAAGAAAAGTCTTGGTGTTAATTGAATAATTAATTTTCTTTGAGTATTATTTCTATCAAATTAATTATTAATTATAATAATTAATTAGCTAATGATAATAATTTTGTTAATGATAGGTAATAACATTATTAATTATTAATATTTAAATATAATTTAATATAGGTAATTTATTTGAATTATTTTGAGAATAATTGATTGTGGAAAAGTTGCAATTAAAAGTTCTGTATTTCATTGAATTGTAGATCAATTAAATTGATTTTTAAATTAAATTGTATTTTTTAAAAAAAATAATTGACTTTCACAAAGTGTTGAGTTGAAACTTTTGAAAATAATTGAAATTAGAAAGGTTGAAATTTTAAACTTTTTAATTTAATTCTAAAAAAACTTGCAGTTACAAGTTCTATAATTAATTGAATTGTAGTTTGAAAATAATTGAGTTTCAAAATGCTTTAAATTGAAATTTTTTAAAGTAATTAAATTTTAATAGGATTTGATTGAAAATTTTAAATATAATTGATTGTGAAAAAGTTAAAAGTAGCTGTTTTATTTTACAAATAATTGAATTTCACGAGAAACTGAATTTTTTTACATAATTGACTTTCACAACGTTTTGAATTGAAATCTTTGAAAATAATTGAATTTCAAAAGGTATTAAATTTAATTTTTTAGATTATGGAAAACGTGCAGTTACAATTTCAATAATTAATTGAATTTTACAAGGTGTTAAATTGTTTTTTTTTTACATAATTGACTTTCACAAAGTGTTGAATTGAAATCTTTGAAAATAATTGAATTTCAAAAGGTTTAAATTTAAAATTTTTGAATTTAATTGAATTTCTAAAGGTTTAAATTTGAAATTTTTGAATTTAATTGAATTTCTAAAGATTTAAATTTGAAATTTTTGAATGTAATCAATTCTGGGAAATTTGCAGTTACAAGTTCTGTAATTAATTGAATTATACAACGTTTTAAATTGTGTTTTTTTTTAACAACTAACTTTCAAAATTCTTTAAATTGAAATTTTTGAAAGCAATTTAATTGCAATATGATTTAGTTGAAAATGTTGAATATAATTGATTGTGGAAGAGTTAAAAGAGCAGTTTTTTTTAAATAATTGAATTTCACAAGGTTTAAAATTGAATTTTTTTTTACATAATTGACTTTCACAACGTTTTAAATTGAAATCTTTGAAAATAATTGAATTTCAAATGGTATTAAATTTAATTTGTTTGAATTATGGTAAACTTGCAGTTACAAGTTCAATAATTAATTAAATTTTACAAGGTGTTAAGTTATGTTTTTTTTTTTTTTTAAATAATAGACTTTCACAAAGTATTGAATTGAAATCTTTAAAAATAATTGAATTTCAAAGTTTATTAAATTAATTTTTTTCAATTTAATTAATTATAGAAAACTTACAGTAACATGTTCAATAATTAATTGAATTTTACAAGTTTCTTAATTATATTTTTTGAAAATAATTTCACTTTCACAAAGTGTCGAGTTGAAACTTTTGAAAATAATTGAATTTGATGCCTGCGACTATGTTCTCCTGATAAAAAAATTTAATTATTGTTATATTTATTTAACAAAATAACAAAATTAGTATAATATAAGGCAAACAAAACGGAAACATTCGGACAGTGAATTAAAATATTTATGTTCTCCAACGTTTTGAAATCTAAATGATTTCCTCTTCAAATTAATTTAAGTCTTCGTCTATTTTAATTATTAATTTTTGACTCCCCGATGAGGAAATCATTTAGATTTCAAAACGTTGGAGTAAATAAATATTTTTATTCACTATCCAAATGTTTTCGGTTTATTTGTCTTATTTTATAAAGCATCTCGGACGTTAAAGATTATTTAACTAAAATTAGTGTAATTTTAATAATTTAGTTTTATTTTGCGTAAGAAAATTATTTTCGTAACATTTGTAAGAGATTGTAAAAGAAATAAATGAAACAAAAGTGAAAGAAGTCAGCAATCTAAAAAAAAAGAGTTGAAATTTAGTTTAATTATTAAAATACGAAATACATACATGAAACTTTTGAATCGAAATTATAATTTAGTTTTTTTGTCTGGTTAGGAAAAAAAATTTTTTTCTCTTGCATTTTGATTTTTACATTTTGTACTTTGTAGACGTCGTCTATTTGAAATATTTTATTATAGTCATTCGTATAACGGTTTTCCTGTCGCTGATATATATTTTTGTCGCGGGCACATAAAAGATTCCGTGAACCAATTGTTAAGTTTCCGTTTTTCTTTTCATTTCTATATAGTACATATATATATATAGTTCAATGAGACATAAATGGTTGGACTAAGAGAGTGTAAGAATGACTTTCACATCTAGCGCATCCAAGTAAATGCGTCCGGAAACTTTGCAA